CTACAATCTACTGAACTAAATTTAAAATATTAAAAAATACAACACGTAACGTAGTAAAAAAAACTACTTTAAGAAACATTCAACCTACCTATCCATCCGTTTTTTCGGCTAGCTAGCTATCTGTTTAAAATGGATTATTCGTTTTTGTATTTTTTTTAAACTCATAAAACGAGGTTCACTCTACCAACACAGCTTTATGCATTTGAAACAAATCTTTCAAATAATTACTGTTCAAATGGCTTAAGGGCCGAGCGTGGCCTATTATTTAACGTGGCGGACTGTGGATCCGTGGTTACCGCCCCCAAAACATCGCGCTCCGCATTTTGAGGTCATGGGTGCTGGTCAATGATGGTCAAATCTCACTATTCTATTAGAGTAGGCCCGAGAGTTGGTGGTGGATGGCGCTGACCACCTGCCTTCCCTTTATCACTTCACAATTAGGGAAGGGTAGCGCAGCTAGCCCTTGAATAGCTTTGCGTGAAACCCAACAACATGGCGTAGGAATTTGATTTGGACCGGGGAGGGGCAAGAAAGTTTTATCGGAAAATATAAAATCGACCTTAAAATCATGTACTATAAGGCTTAACGTCGCTTTGAAAAAAATGGTTCCAATGACTTCCATGTCACGTGTGAGTAATATATTTTCTGAAAAGGCATAATCAATTTGCAAATATAAGTTATAGATACGTACGGAGCTTTTGTTCGAATAGTTTGAGTGATTTTTACCCGAAAAATTATTTGGGCCAGAATTTTGGGACAATTGTTCCTCTTGACCCCCGCCTATGCCCAACAATACCAAATGGTTTAATGTAGTGAAGTGGAAAGATGACGATGGAAAAAAACAAAAAAACCTTCTTATACACTAATTGCCGTACAGTTGCTCCCAAATATTACATCAATACTGAACAATATCAATTAATTTTACTGAATGATTATTATATATCATCAAGCCCTTTTGCTGCGATAGCAAAGATTAGCCTAAATGCATTAAGTGGGGGGTTATAAAATAATTCTGAGAATCCTGTTCCATACCGATAAAAAGGAACAAATTCGGTACATATACTAAATGATAAAAGCGTTGCCTCAAAAGCCATGATGATGTTAGTAAAACAACAACCAAGAAGAACCTCAAGACGGTTATGATCAGTAAACAAAATACTCACAGTAAATAAAAAACAATTACCTTAAAGAACACACTGTCATTACGACACTACAACCTCAAATATCACAGTCAATAAATATAAAATCTTAAAAACCATATCGCCAATAAAAAAATTCAAAGACCATAAATCTAAATTTCTGATACCATATTGTCAGTACAAAAAAAAACTACGAAAAATACTGTCAGCAAGACCACTGTTAGAATAAAAACATTTCATACAAGGCCCTCCTGAAATCAACAAGTTGTTTGTAAGGCTACTGTTGCAATACAAACGTTACTTAAAATAAAAGTTACGTACCAGACGACTTTTAATACATATTAGTTAGAGCTGCAAAAGTATGGGGTCGCTGGCAAATTTCGAATCATGTTTTATTAGGTGGAGAAGAGGCCGAAGGGACCACATATCTCAGCTGTCAATAACACAGCACGTTTAAAAAATAATCCATAGTCAATATCAATTTGGATCAAAAGAGCGTATATACGTGTATTACTACAGAAATAAAGCATGACAGAAAACTACTTTTTTAACTGAACGGTACAAGTAGAAGTGCTTTGTTTTTGCGGCTTCTTTCTCTAGACTTTGTGCACTCCGGGTCCACATATAAATACATGAAGGTAATTAATTAAAGTTCGTTCCAGTAAAACTTAAAATGTAAACAAGAGGGAATCCGCGGCACTTGAAATTGTTTTAGGCAGGGTTTAGAGTAAATTAATTTACGATACCTTTGTTTTGTTTTTTTATTTATTAGCTATATTTTTATGCTCCAGCAATACCAGGCGTATACCCGATTCGATTTTATTCCTCATCAGGATCTCTACGAGCCTACCCTCAAACTGAAATTATTTGAGGCAGGATTAGAGCAAGTTAATATATGCGATCTTAGGCGTGGTCAAATACATCAACGTAAAGGGTTTGACCTCCTGAATCGAAAACTTATTAGATCTCAAATCGGTCAAGAAATGACGGGGGCTACGAGCAAAAGTTTGAAGTTGAAAAACCTCAGCCATTCTACGAG